TGAAATCTACTTAAGTAAAGTACAGATACATGAAAAATGTACTTAAGTACAGCAACAAAGTACTTGTACTTAGTTACATCCCACCACTGAATAAAAATTAAAGTACGGCTAAGCTTTTGAGCATAACTGAACAAACGTAATGCTTGATTTATAGTCCACATCAGGCATAATCAAGCAAAACGTGTGCGTTGCCTCCAGGCAGAACTTTGCAGACCAGGTACAACAACTGATCAGAACTTTGTGAGCGTGTTTACGCAGAGAAGCAGGTGAAGTACACTGGTGTYGATCATTCTCTTATAAGCTGCTCTGCTGAGCAGCAGCTGGCCGAGACGATTGGAAAACACAGGAATTCCTCTTATGGCGCAGCACAAGTGACGGGTGAAAAGGGTTTTTTAGTGAACTTGCTCCTGATTATTGAGATCAGTGTTGGACAAACTGAAGCAAAGTAAAGAAGAATAAATGTGTTCAGTTAAATCAGATCAGAGCACTCACCTGTATTGTTTCTGAAGGTCGAGGGCCAGGGTTGAAATGTCCACATATTCACAGTCACTAGAGGCCAGATACTGAAAACACCAATAAAAAAAATACATCAGGCAAGAGTGAAAAACTAGTTTTCTCACATTACCCACGGGCTTTATTGGGTCTGAAGTGACACTAGGCTTATACCTGTTGAACTCTTTGTTTAAGTCGAGAGTCTATCCATCCGCCACCTCTGTTCTTCATTTTCTTCAAGTGATGCACATGAAAAAGAACCATTGTTAGAAACAAATTTAAAGTAAAGGGATCAAATCCTCTGCCTGTGTTGTAAATGTCTCTCTGCTCTAGCGTACGTTATTTCAAATGATCTTATTTAATCTCAAACTAACAGCTAGAAAGGTTGTATTATTATTTTGAAAATGATGAATAAAAATTGCAGCTAACTTTAGGTTGTCCATTAATTTATCAATCTAAGGCAAAGCCCTACTAAGAAAAGCTAAAGGCATTTAAAAAGCTTCACATATTTTATTTCTTGTACTGATGACTTTTGTCTGAAAAAGCTAAGTCTCAGATGTTACGTAAATAAAATGTATGTGCCCTTATCTTGTAACATTATTTACTGTATTAAAAGGCTCATAAAACTGATAATATCATAAATGTCGTGCTTTTTAATGTGCTCATCTGTTTTTAAATAATAAATTCCCTTTAATTTAACAATTAAAGTTTCTGACAAGTCTTTACCTGATTTTTTTCTCATAAAATGTCAACATTCCTCACAGAAACAAATCCCTGCTCGTTGGGAGCTGCTACAACATTTTGGTTAACTTCAGCCTCCTTACAGAGTATTAAACTGGACACAAACATACAGATTAATCACAGTCAGGTACAACACTTACCTCCAAAAACACACGTCCACGTGCAAGTTACTGACTCTAAATCCTGAATAAAACTAACTCAAACACAAGACGTACATCCAAAAACTACGATTTTTAACAAATTTGGGTCATTTAGAATGAAACGTTAAATAAACAAGTGCTATTTTAAGACATTTAACTAGGCTAACACTACCATTTCTTCTACTTCAGGATTTCTTACAACCCCGGAAATAAAATTGGTACAATTTCCGGGTAAAGAATTTCAAAATAAAAGCTGATCCCGTCCTCCAGATTCAAAGAGCCCCATTACGTCTTTACGGTTACACTTATTTGCGCATTAGACAGGCTCAGATCCACTGTTCTGTTTATAAGGGCTAAAGTTAAAAGAGAGGTTCTCTCTGTGTTTACATGCAAATAAAATGTAACAACGTTTTCACTTAACTTTCTCTTCATTTGTGTTCAACATTACTCATATAAAAGATATTCATAAGGCTCATAAAAATGAATTACATATCAATGCAATTTTGTTAAGAGAGGAAGTAGCCTAATTATAATCTAAAGAGGCTAGAGATGTTTGTAAAGCCCAAAATTTGAAGGACTGATGTACTTCGGTCCAAGGAACAAGATTGTGGAATAATCTGGAAAGTGACTATAAAAATGCTGGCTCAATAAATTTGTTTAAGAGAATGATAAGTTAGTTTGTTAAAGTAGTATGATGTATTTATAATGTGTGTTCACAAAAGCTGTGTTTGAGGAGTTGAAGTTTTTTTTAATTGAAGATTACTTTTAAATTTTTATTTTTTTTTAAGGGGGGGGCAGATATTAAGATTTTTTCTTTTTGCTGCCTTTTGTTTTATTTGTGATTTGTACTATTTGTTGTGTACAGTATATGTTTTTTTTTATGAAATGAATAAATTTATTAAATAAACAGATATTTCTCACCAAGTTTGAGGAACATTCCTGGTAGGGTTTTATCTTGAATGCCTGTCATGGCAGATGAAGTGAATGTACCTATCTGGTAGTTTGCTGTTTAAAGAAAATGGTTGTCTGCACAAGAGGCTCATGAAGAGGATGGTCACCCCCTTCTCCTGGATCATGGCAGGTATCCATGGTGGGCAAAGGATTGACATCCTGGTTTTTTCCAAAAGTGTTGATAATAGTTTTTAATTGATAAAATAACCAAGTGATTTTGCAGCCGAATACATTATTGACTATACCTCGTTTTAGCTGTTGTCCCCCATTCCCCTCCTGTCTTTGGTCTTCTGCATTACTGATGTCACCAGTGGTGGAAGTAGATGCCCCCTGTTGTTTTGTAGGTATGAGCAACACATTACATTTATACATTCTTTACAGCCACATTTGCAAGGGGAAAAACTCCATTCCCTAAGCTTGGTTTTATTCATCACTATGCTAGATGAACTGAYTATGAAATTGATGTGTAAATTAAATTACAGTTATGCAACGTATGTAAAACAACAATGGTCAAAACTTGAATTAGTGATGGTGAATATATCTGAAAAACCTTTTGGGAAAAAGAAAGTCTGAAACCAGTTGACTTGTTTGGAATTCCCAGTTCCTTGCAGACTTTGGCCCAAAGGCCATCGTTGACCGAAACAGAAGTATTCCATCTTTAATTGCTCTTTTTTAGCTGCTGTATGGCCTGGTGAATCTCCACAACAGATATCACTTTCTTCTTATTTCGTTGGATATGTGGAAAGATAGATAAATAGATAAATAAATGTAGCTGGATTCATTGACTGTGCTGTGTTATGTAATTGGTACTCACCCCAAACACACTGAACATGCAATAACTGTAAAACAATGAAGCCACAAAATACCATAAGATGACGGTATCGCAAAAAACTAATTTCATGTACAGTATAAGTGAAAGGATTCACAATCATAGTAATAGGTATGATATGGTATTGTTATGTTAAGAAAATATAATTTTTCATTCTCAACAGAATTGAATTGCCTTTTTTGTCATTGTGACAGAACTCAATGAAATTACAGCTGAGATGTATTCTGTCTAGAACTCACAAAGACCACTGTGACTGCTTTCAAACCCCAAAACACATTACGGCAAAGGCTGGTTCACCCCAAAGATCCGGTGCCCCGGCCCAAACAGAGCAATGTTGTATATGCTGTTAAGTGCCAGGAGGACTGCGACCAGTTATACATCGGGGAAACAAAGCARCCACTGTTCAAAAGAATGTCCCAACACAGACGAGCTACATCTAATGGCCAGAACTCTGCAGTTTTCACTCATTTACAGGCCAGCGGTCACTCTTTCAGAGATGAGGATGTTCTCATTCTTGATAGAGAGGAACGTTGGTTTGAGAGAGGAGTAAAAGAAGCCATTTTTGTGAAGAAAGACCATCCATCATTAAACAGAGGTGGAGGCCTCTGTTTTCAGTTGTCCCCCTCCTACAGTGCGGCTATTGCCAGTATCACTCCACCCCCTGTTAACAATAGGTGTTAATTAGGTGTGAACGATAGCCATGTGATGTGAGWATCAGTCACATGGAGGCAGTGCTTAAAAGCCTGAATTTTGCCTGAAACTCTCAGACTGAAGAAGTCTCTTGGAGGAGAGACGAAACGTTTCATTAGAGAAGAACCCGTCCAGAAGACCTATACAATTTTTTTCTTTTTGTGACTGCAGTACTTTGCATTGTATTGCATTGCATTCACACATAACAAAACAAAATCTCAGACCCCCACCCCAACTAAACTACAAGAGTAAAAATGAGGCTAAATGCCTGTCATTGGAATACAGAAGATAAGAATTAAATATGTGATATACAAAAGACTTAAAATGTATTCTGTAAGATGTAATTGTTTATTTTTTAAGTCTTTGAGTTTAGTTTAGTTTTTGGTTGATTATTAATTAGTATTTTTGTTTAATTATAATTGTTTAGAATAAATTAGATGGATGATTAATTGTTTAATTTATCATTTTTTGTTTTGTATAGCCTTTAGGTAGATTATGCATTTAGGTCATATGTTTTTTTTTATCAGGTTATCAATCTGTCAGTCAGTGGTGAAATGGGATGCAGATTTGAACAAATACACACAAAAACATCAAAATTAGCACAGAATCAGTACTTTATAACATTTTAGACACATTCTAGACAGTTTATCAGCTAAAAAAAAGTTAATTTTGGGGTAAGTTACTCTTTAATCAGCATTCAGTCACTCATGGAGAAACAGGAGAGGGAAGGCTGTGAACATGTACCTCATTTTGCCTGCCGATTTGGAATAAATCTACCATGGAACTGCATTTTTGGACTATTTGCACTGCGTAAACCACAAACTTAAATGCATCAAGTGATTATTTGACTTACATCATTTATAATTTTCAAGGACAAATAGTCATTACATGATCATTTAGTTTAGTTTAGTAGAATTTTAAACACAGTCTCGCTTTTGATAGTGGTGGTCACACCTGTGTATTGGTTTAAAATTAACTTAGGTCTATACTTACCCTTTAGGCATTTTTGCAGCTTCTTTGTGTGAATTTCTAAAATGTTTCCTTGAATAGATGAACCGTTTTAGCTCCGATTACAAACTGGCGGCGGCGTAAATTTAAAGAAATTAATGGTGACTGGTTGAATTCAAATTCAAAAGGTGGTGGAAGAAACTTGAAATGACCAATGAAATCGTGACTTGGTAGGTTCAAACCCACTCAACTTTGGGGTTCCATTTGTGCCAAAAATATGTTGTTGCGCCTTTGTCCATGTTCTTAAACCTTGTGTTGACATGAGGTCGTTTTGTTCTGTCTAACACCATGTTTATGTCAAAATGGAACCCCATACTAAACAGGTACAGGCCTAATTTAATTGGCTGCAGTGGTTACACACCTCTGTGGGTGTTTCAGTCATTAACAAGAGCCCACCCCAAGCAAAATGCCCATCAGAACCCTGATTGTCTCTGACAGGTTGTTAACATAAAATYGGCTTCATCTGACTATCTTCAGATATTCACTTTAAAATTCGTTATTAGATATCCCAAATTAGCTCCATAAAATGGTCAAAACTCATTTACCCTACCCTTTAGTACAAACTATCATACACAGCAAAAGTTTACACTCAACAAAAACGTAAGAAAAGTGTTTTACAGCTTAGTTTTAGGAGCAACTGTAATAATTAAATTTGTTCTAAGTTCTTCATATTTTTACAATTTTAATACCTATAATATTGCCCATTAGTTTACAGAAAACTGACATTTAGTGTTGTTTAAACAACTGTCTGTAGTATATAAGTAGTATATAGTAATATTTTACTCAAATAAAATTGAGTTAATTAAATAGGCATATAAAATTTTGTTTAAATTATTTTGCACGTACAAATAATGGTTTTAACTGATTAGATGCCAATAACAATGACTACATCATCGCTTATATATGGTTTCTGGATAAAAAGCTGAAAAACAAATAAACCAATAATGCAAAACTACGCAATGTGCATGTAAACACACATGAGAGAGATCTCCGCGGTGTCTGTGTCGGCTGTTTTCAAATTTAAATTTTTCCCTGAAAAAAAACAAAACACTTAAGTTAGTTTAACAAGCTTTACACGTTTTTTCCTAGCATGGCGTAACCTCTCTCCGTTCTGTAATTTTTTTTTTCATTTTGTCCCACACTCCTGCTTTTTTTTGTTTATTTTTTCCCCTTCACTCTGTGTGCATAACACGACTGTGATTTCTGTTAATTTGTTTATTTTACCCATAGTATTACATATCAACAACTTTTATGATGATAAATCTGTAAATATATAAAGTTAGTATTTATTCCAATATGGGACCAATCATGCAGCTATGTTGTTAGTTTTACTGTAAAATGCAATAAATGTTATTGCATGTGTGTGTGTCATATATATATATATA